CAAATTCTTCAGATACTTCTTCCCCTGCAACTTCTGGGTCATTTATTTTAAGTATATATAATGCTTCCTCAGCTAGGTCCCAATTTCTTGAATTGCAACATTCATGTAGAAGTTCAGTTGCATCGCCAATGTTCTTAGGCTGCATCAAGTCATATCAAATATGAAATTCGATTATTGATATTTCTAAATTACATCAAGTTATATGAAATATGAAAATAAATTATTACCATTATATCTTCATCATTACATCCTTAAGGTGCATATTTGGAGGGATGTTTTCTAAATGGATTATGGATTAGGGGCCTAGTCCTTAGTTTGTACCACTCGATGTATTATTGTGTCGGCTTCCCATTATACATATCTTCATTTCCTGACAAAAATAATCTAAGCGGTTTGTCCACATATCGATTTCATCTCTAAGCTCATCTCCCCAGTTGTCATATTTTCCCCCCGTCTCTCCCTCTTCTCCCACTGCAAGGGATCTACTGGTATCCCTTGGTGATGTCCAATTTACCGGAGCACACGATCTGGCATATACCCCTCACAGATGTGTCTACATATGAGGTATGTGCGACACAAAGCAGTCTCACGGACACGAAGCCCATAATCTTTATCCTCTGTAATTTCCTCTCCTATGTCAGGATTAACATTGTATGGGGCCCATATGACCTATGACATAAATAAGACAAATTTAAAGATAAATAACTGTACCTAAAATTAATTAAATTACAAATAAACAAAACAAATTATACTAACATCATTTATCTGCACATTATCAAGTTCCTGTCACCCCACTAGATCGAAGTTGTGAATGTTATCCCATTCTCTAAGAGGAGCCCACCTGAGAGATCTAGGTTGCCCTGTTCTTATTTCTTTTGGAATTGGGCGCAACAATTTGAAATGCTGGTACTCCCAACACTGAAATACATGTATAAAAAAATAAGAATCACAACAAGAAATATCTATCGAACTTTATAAAAAGTATAAAAACACTAATATACTACAATTACCAGCAAAAGAGTGGCTGATCCACTTAAGTATTGATGATCAGCATGAACAACCTTTGACAAGGCTCAAAACAAATATGCTAACACAGTTGCACCCCATGCATATTGACCAACTACGTCTATATCCCCAAAAAGTTGTAAATAGATTGTAGGAACTGTAACATATGTGGAATTCGTAAATATTGTGCACCCGACTAGATATAATAGGTAGGCACGGGTATATCATGGAAGAGTGGTGCAGTTATAGTTCTGTGGTAATTGCTTAAACTTGTTCCTCAGCCATGTCAGACGGATAAAGGAATGGCTACGATTAGGTGGTAGCTATCATATCATGCGAACTATATGATCCTCGTAGTTCTCTACTCTCCTCACGGTTACAGCTACATTAGTCACCTTTAACCGAAGAATTTTCCATGTATCTTCAAGTGTAGGCATCATCTCTCCGATGTCTACATTGAAGTGCCCCGTGTTTCCCTCAGCGCGCCACCTCCCGATAATTGTAGATAATGTGCCACAATCATGCTGACTCATCGATACTATAGTCATAGGATACAATCATGATCTCCTGGCCAAATCAATTTGATCGTTGTTTTTTAATGACCATGACGAATTTGCATTGAGCTTCTCATCAATCCTGATGGTATTTTTCAGATCCTGATATAGAATTTGTCATTTCAGATACTAAAATAAATAAATTGATTAACTATTATGATAGACAAATATTATAATTTTAAATACTTGTATATATATCTCCTTGCCAGATCTTCTGTGATATATGTTCTCTTTGTCTAGTGAGCAATGTAGGAATCTCAAGACCTCCAGGAAAATGTGCATCTTCTGCCATGATCACTGCTAAAAAAGCCATAACCAATCCATCCAACCATATTCAGATTAATGCATATTTCTCAGTTTCCTGCTTCAAATGCCATCTAAAAAAATTGAAATGTACACATAAAATTTCATTAAGAATAAGAAATCCTTAGTTTCAATTAAGTGGCTCAAACTAAAGATTTTCATTAAGAATAAGAAGTCCTTAGCTTCAATACAATGAATGAGAGAAATAAAAGAATAAGAAAATCATCAATGGAGGAGACATGAATGAGAGAAATAAAAGAATAAGAAAATCATCAATGGAGGAGACATGAATGAGAGAAATAAAAGAATAAGAAAATCATCAATGGAGGAGACATGAATGAGAGAAATAAAAGAATAAGAAAATCATCAATGGAGGAGACACCCAACCATTTTGCAGTGAGTATCAGGCTTTAAATACCCTCTCAGTCTAAAGAAAGAAAAAAACAAACAATGTAAAAGATGAGAGAAAAGCCAACCCACAAAGGATTAACCAATCCATCCAACAATATTTAGATATATGTGTGTGTTTCTCAGTTTCCAGCTTCAAATACTGTCTCAAGAAAACTGAAATGTACACATACAATTTCATTAAGAATAAGAAGTCTTTAGCTTCAATTAAGTGGCTCAAACTAAAGAATTTCATTAAGAATAAGAAGTCCTTAGCTTCAATACAATGAATGAGATAAATAAAAGAATAAGAAAATCATCAATGGAGGAGACACCCAACCATTTTGTAGTGAGCATCAGGCTTCAAATACCCTCTCAAACTAGAGAAAGACAAAGAAAAAAAAAAAAAGAGAGAGAAAAGCCAACCCACAAAAGATTAACCAATCCATCCAACCATATTCAGATTAATGTGCGTGTTTCTCAGTTTCCAGCTTCAAATACCACTAGAGATTAAGCCTTGGTTATCAAAATCCATAACTTAATTCGATAAAAAACGACCAATAAATCGATCAAAATCTTTGTTTTTGGATCGAGCACAGGTTTTTTGAGCAACAGCCTTTTGGTTGAGTATCAACCCATAATATTTCGTTTTTTGAACAAATTGAAACATGAATATGATAACTACTTTGATTATCTATCAAACCCACCAAATTTCTTCAAGAAACATTAGGGGGTGAAGAAATTCTTGAAAGAATGGCGGAAATTATCAAAAGCCTAAATACTACACCATTTCGATCCAAGAAATTAATCACAAATCTAGGAATAAATCACAGATATTGGAACAAATCACAAATTTGTTGAATTGAAATGAGAGAACAAAAATGTTGCAATTCTAGGTGCTATGAAATTAATATTGTACGATTTGGGTTTATAAATCCAACAACAACTATTTCTTACCTGAAATATATGATGAGGGAGAGATCGATCAAGATTGAGAACACCGCAACAACCTTCTAATGGTAGAATGAAGACCGTAATTTCTTCCAACAAAATGGGGCTTATTTGGTTCTTTTGGGTTAGGGTTTATACGGTTGAAAATAAGTAGGAAGTATTATGGTACTACGAGTACGATAATACATTTTGTTGTATTACGGTACAACGTGTACCGTAATATGTTTTTAAACTATTACGGTACTCCACAGTACCGTAGTTTCTTGTAAACACAACCCCTATATAATATTAAGGTACACGTAGTACCTTAATATCTTTTGGACGTATGACGGTACTAAAAGTACCGTAATTTTTTGAAAGAAAAATACGGTAAGCATATTACCGTAATCTATATTACAGTATTAAAAATACCGTAATTGTTTTTACAGTACTACGCCTACCGTAAAGTGTATTTTCGTCTGAAATTTCATGAAAATGGGGTAAAAGGGTGTGGGTGGGAAGTTGGGATTTTTTTTCCAATTTCTTGAAAATATGAGTATATTAACAATAATTTCCCTTAAATTTATTTAAAATATTTAAAACATTTTTAAATAAGGGAAATTACCTCTAATATACCTTAATTTTAACAAAATTGGAAAAAAAATCCAAACTTTCCAAAACCTAGCCCACCCTTTTTTCCAATTTTCACGATTTTTTGGATGAAAATACCCTTTATGGTAGTCTTTTTACTGTAATGAGCATTATGGTATTCTTAGTACCGTAATGCTCTTAAATTTATTTACGGTCATAAAAAGACCGTAATGGTCCAAACTTCTGCTTCCTTGGTGAATGTCCGGGTAGAAGATATGATTTCTTGGAACTAAGGCTTATTTGTTCTTAAATAAGTACATAACTGAACAAGAAATTTCTTCACTTGTCCAATTTCTAATGGATCAAGATATCCATTCGCTCCTGTATAAATAGTAACTATCTTTTCTTCCACCGCGAGAGCGGCTACTTGGGATTGTTTGAGCAACTCGAGCAATTGTTGACCTCTCGCTAATTGATTCTGAGTAGCTTTACCGAGATCATAAGTGAATTGTGCAAATGCTTTTAACTCTGCAAATTGATACCGTTCCAATTTTGAAAGAAGTTTAAGAGCACTATGGTACTTACGGTACTCTTAGTACCGTAATGCTCTTAAACTTCTTTACAGTCATAAAAAGACCGTAATGCTCCAAAGTCCATTGGAATTCCAGTGGATTTTGGAGCATTATAGTCTTTTTATGACCGTAATGATCTTAATGAGCATTACAGTACTCTTAGTACCGTAATTCTATCATGCCATTATAGTAGAAAGACTATCGTAAAAGGGCATTTTATCCAAAAAGTCACAAAAATTAAGAAAAAAAGTATGGACAAGGTTTTTGAAAGTTTGAGGTTTTTTTACCAATTTTGTTAAATTTAAGATATATTAGTGATAATTTCTCTTTAAATAAAGTTATCCAACATATGAAATTCATTACACAATATTTCTTAAATGTGTTAATAAAAATAGAGAAAAAAAATGTAATAATCCTATGAGACCTTTCCACACGTACGATATAAAAAATTATTAATAAATTTAATATAAATCTTTAAAAAAATTATAAATTTGATTTTTTTATATATATATATCTTAAATTTAATGGTAATCATTTGAAATCCTGCGTATGTTGTTGTGAGAAAGTCACATATGACCATTACTATCGAAAATTTAAATAGGGTCACATATGACCATTACTAACGAAAATTTAAACAGTTATCCAACAAAAGTGTTTACCGACAAATCAAACGCGCCCCCCTAACTACAAAAGCAAGAGAGAGAGGTCACGACTCGAGAGAGGGATTTCTGGAAGGGGAAGCCCAGTAGAAAGCGGGCAGCTCGCGAACGAAGATGATCTGAGATAACAAAAGAATGGGAGGGAAGATAGAAGAAGCAGATGTTAATGGAGATTTATCATCCTCCCCAGAGTTGAAGAGGCAGAAAGTAGGTCACCACGAGATGAATCCAACAACTGAGAACACCCATTCAAGTCTCCTACCTTTGGCTTCTTATTACTCTGAAGAAGAGGAAGAGGACGATGATGACAGAGAAGGAAGAGAAGAAGAGGGGAACAGAGAGAATGGGAGTTTATTTCACGGGCAGCGACAAAAGCAAGTTGAGGTTCGAAGGGATTGCCCTTATTTGGATACAGTCAATCGCCAGGTACTTTATTCATGATCCTTTTTTGGGAGAACTTTGTTAATGGCCTGTTGGGGTTCTTACTTAACTGGGTTTCTGCAAATTTCGCTTTTCATTTTCGTTCTTTTACTTTTTGAGAGGACAGATACCGATAATTTATGGAACCGAGTTTGACTTATTTCATAGAAGTGGGAAAGAACCGATTTGATTATTTCATAAAAGGTACGAACAACCCGTGTATCGTTTTTAGAGATGATTATTGTTTACGAATGGGCTCAAGCTAGGTGTTCAACATGGCTTCTTTAGTTCCATTCCTACCTAAGGTTGGGGACCCATCCCCACTGTACTACCCAAAAAAGAATATCAAAGCAACAGATATCTCTTAAAAAATGAAGCTCTATCCCCAATTCTGGTATGGGGCCATGGGCACTTGTTGCAGTGCTCAGTTTGAGAAAAATTGTATTATTAATGTGATTATTTATCTTCTTCAATAACTCAAGTAACCTTTGGGTGTTTTAAATGAAATTTGATTATTGATCCTTGAGGATTCATCATTCACTTGTATACAAAAGATTTGGACGGATATTGATTCGCTTTTATCTCTATTATTTATGCGGAATAAGAACTTGTGTCATAGGGATGCTCTGCACTGTGCTCTAGAAGTCAAATGATTGCTTGGTTGTCTTGGCTAGGTAATTTAAACACCATATCCCAGTCAACTGGCTGACATGCTGAGGCCCTTAGTAAAAAGAAAATGTGAAATGTTCTAGAAATGCATGGTGTGGTCAATATCTATTCACTATGTTGGAGGGGATTTTAGAAGGGGGGCATGTTCTTATGGGAAGTTTTGAGGATTCTTTGCAAACCCCTTTAGGTCTGTAAGGTCCAAAAATCTTCTTTCAACTTAATAATGTGAATTACTCTGGATAGCAAAAATCAAAGTTTTAATCGAATATAATCCCATAGCATTTAATTGCGTATGTCTTCCTTGTATATATTGATAAATAACTTGTGGTTCAAGTTGCCAGTTAGTCCTCAATATTGGGGAGTGGATTTGTTGAAAATTTAGAAGGAATTGTGGTTTAAGTACCTGGTTGCATCGGAACTAAACTCTTGAATTGTTGCAAGAATTGCAGGATTAGGGTAAATTAGCCTCTTTTAAATTCCACCTTCTTCAATGTTGGTTTGTTTGAATTTTGGGAGTTAGTAGCCTGACAATATTCATCACCATCTTGTACAAGAACATTCATTGAACCAAAGTCATTTTGTATGCACTCATCAAAAGATAAAAATTTCACCATCATCTCTTTCCTTGGGCTGTTATAAAGCCACTGATTTCCAGGGGATTCTGAGTTAGAAATGATCTTGAATATAATAATCGCATCAGAATGAATAATTTGTAGAATGATTGAAAGCATTTTTTGTATTTTAACTCTTAGCGAGCTTAGATTGAGAAATCATGGTTAACAGAATAAGTGTAGAAAATATTATTATAAGTTGCTATATTCCTGTTCTTGTTCCAATCTTGTGTCAAATATGTTGCTTGTTTGTCAAATTTACAAATGTCCTTCTTAACTTGCTAGCTCTTACCCTCCTCATGCTAGGAACAGTTGCATTTTTGTTGGTATCTTTTATGTGATGGAAATAATAGGAGAATTTGATGAATTTATTGTATCTTGCAAATGTGCAGGTCTTGGACTTTGATTTTGAGAAGTTCTGCTCTGTTTCTCTGTCAAACTTAAATGTATATGCTTGCTTGGTTTGTGGGAAATACTACCAAGGAAGGGGCAAAAAGTCACATGCATATACACATAGTCTTGAAGCAGGTCACCATGTCTATATCAATCTACGAACCGAGAGGGTCTACTGTCTTCCTGATGGATATGAAGTTAATGATCCATCACTAGATGATATTCGCCATGTCCTAAACCCAAGGTGTGAATTGCTATTTGTGTATTGCCAAGGAGTGAATTGAATTTCGTGTAGTGCTTTTAAAATTTTAGTGTAGTGCAACTTCATTTTGATATAATGCAATTGCATCTTTTTAACTATCGAAAAAAATAATAAATCACAAGCATCTTCTATTATCACATATTTGCTTGTTGACATGCCTGTAAAAGTTTTTTTGATTCTGATCAGTAGTTGGACTTCTTATTGTAAAAGAACAGAGAGAATCACTATTGGACATATGCTCAGCTATGTGATAAACATATATAGAAGCGAAAAGAGAATTTGGAGGCCTCAAGCTAGTAGTAGATGACCAAGGAATGGAAATAAGTTGCTGAAAACATTATGAATATTTTTTATTATAAGAATGTTATAAATAGCATACAAAGTGCAGGACTTGCTTTGAAGTATTGAACACAATATAAAGTATCCTTATACATTCTTACACAAACTAGACTAGAGTACCAGGCTGGTCCAGCACCAAGATTGTCTTGGTGAGTTCTGCCTTCCACCTTGCGCATGCCTAATGCCTCTAAATACATGGGATTTCAACAGTACAGAGGCTAGGTATTGCCTAATGCCTATAGATACATAAGATTGCCTTTGAATAATTGCAAAGTCCTCTTTTCATAATTTAATTTGCAAATAGTGAGAAAGTCGGTCTTAAATCATGCATAAATGCAAATTATGACATAAATTATATAGGACGCGGTTTCTATGCGGCCAAGCCCGCATATGTAGAAATGCGGGCTTCTTAATAAATCTATTTTTGAGATAGATTTTAAAACTTAATTTTTAAGGACATGTAATCTCTAACATGGAGATCATCAATATGAAAAAATAAATAAGTTTTAAAAACTAAAAATAATAATTCTAGTAAGAAAACATTTGGACCGTTAGTTTCTATTGTTTTTAAATGGAACACCTACTTGCCTCCATTTCTAAGATGGATGTTTCACTCTTTCTGGACTGCATATGTAGAAATGTGGTCTAGCCCACATGAAACAATTTTTCCAATTATATAAGTGCAATTTAGTACTGTAGTGAGGTATGTCAACATTAACCTACAAAATGATTTCAGTGTCTGCACACTAAAGGAAAATGACAGTTTACATGAGAAAGTTGGTAAATATATGTGCAAATTGATTATCAAGTTCTACAAAGTGCATACAGGACTCAGTAGAATAGAATAATTCCTTGATGTATAACACGGTCTACTTCAATATGCCCAATATTTGTGGATGAAAAACAATATGGAAGGTAGTTATTTGTGAGCTTTTCCTACTGATCGCACTTAAGGTTCAATTAAACTTGCCTATTGCTGTTCGCTTCCACAATTGGACAGTATGTAGTGGTTGTTGAGGTAGAAATGCTGACTAGTTGATCCTTTATGTATTCAATATTTCTAGAATAGGAATTTCTTAAGTGGTTGGTTCTATAAAAATTTATTTCAATTGTTCCTGCACCTTACAAGGTATTCCCTTATCCCCCCCACCTCTTTTCTTGTTGCTTCTTTTTGGATTAAATCTCTATTAAGCAAGGTCATTGCTTGTTGAATGTCTTTCCTTTATGACCCATCATTTACTGCAAGCTAATTTGTCTAGTTTTCTATTACAGATTTAATAGAGAGCAGGTCGACCATATTGATACAAATAAACAATGGTCAAGGGCTCTTGATGGTTCAGACTATCTTCCTGGAATGGTGATTGATATATTCTTTTTCCCTTTCTAATAGGCATGTGGGCATGCCATATCTTCTGTGTAAGTCCAGTATTTGGATTTATTTCGGTGTGCAAATCAAGAGTTTTAATTTGGCTGTTTGTTTCAGGTTGGACTCAATAACATCAAGGAAACAGATTTCGTTAATGTTACTATTCAATCACTGATGCGTGTAACCCCATTAAGGAACTTCTTTCTCATTCCTGAAAACTATCAGAATTGCAGATCTCCTCTTGTTCATCGATTCGGAGAACTTACACGGAAGATATGGCATGCTCGCAACTTTAAGGGACAGGTTTGTATTCATGAAGCCACTGTCTAATACTTATGTTCCAGCATAAAGGAGACCATTTTCTGTTTTTTTTTTTTTGTGTGTGTGTGTGTGTGAGAGAGAGAGAGAGAGAGAGAGAGAGAGAGAGAGAGAGAGAAG